ATGGCTGCCAGAGGGAGGCCTGCCACGCGGTGAACACATGCACACAGTCCAGATGCTGCCTACGCGCTCTCTCACACGCTCTTCTGCAGCACACACATGTGTAGCTATTCGGGTGTATGCCCAGCCCTCAGGCAGGCACGAACCATGTGCATGCCCACACAAGACACATGTGCACACAGCTCCCTCGGTGCCCAGTACACGTGCACACAGCACAGACCGATGCCTGGGGGCTTTACCACGTGTCCATCAGAGATGCACTCATGTATAACAGTACTCATGTCCGCCCCTCCCCCCCCCGGACATACACGGAACATGTATACACAGGACTACAGTCACCCTCTACACATGTATCTCTGCACAAACATAACACAAGGAGCTAAAAGTCTCATCTGTGGGGCCGTGCTTGGCATGCATGGTCTCACTTCATCCTCTCCCAGCTCTGGGGCCGAGAATGATTATCCCCATTTTACAGCTAAGAAAACTGAGGTGGAGAGACTGCTTTGGTAAATCGCCAAGACGTGCAGATCAGACAAGGGGAAAGTAGAGACCCAAATGAGGCAGCATGCCTCTCCACGGCCTGCCACCCCCGGCAGGCTGGGCAGAGGGCAGTGGGTGGGGACTGAGGAAACAGATGGCTTTGAGATTAATGTAGCTGGATGTCAAGGGGACCTGGTGACTGTGTGCTGGAGGGGTCCAAGGGGCAAGTTTCGGAGATGAACTATGGAGGGCAGGAGGGCAGACGGCGGGAAGACAGAGCCGCGTCCTAAGAATGAGACCATGCACAGGCTGAAGGGCCTGCCACTGAGCTGCTTTCAAATGTGGGAGGTTTGGTGGGCGCGGCGTGGAAGTGTGACAGTACCAGAGGCTTGAGAAAGCCAGCTGCGGTTCAAAGGGGGCACTTGGTGTCCCCACCGGCTTCAGTGCCACCAAGTTCTGAATAAACAAGATACCCAAGCAGGAGGCCCAGGCCTGGGGCCACAGGGTCGGCATCTGGGAATGTCAATGCCCTGCAGCCAGGAAGCATCCATCTGATTCCTTTCCTGAGCCTCACTGTACAGGTGGCCAAACTCAGGCATGGGCCAGGGAACTGAGAAGTCCCACTGGGTCTTTCGGCAGGATGGACTCTAGTGGGTTATGGGCTCACCTGCCTGGGGTACCACGCCCAGCACCTGCTCACCGTCTGGAGCCTCGCTATGCATAGCTCTGCCTCGCCACACATCAGTCGCTTTCCTGAACCTGTCCCAGACACGAGGAGACCCGTGACAGAGCCACAGGTGTGTGACCCGCTCAGTTGCTGGCGAAAGTGAGACATACGCTTGTTTCCTGGCCTTGTCCTGTCTTACAAATCAGGGGCCCTTCACACACACACACACACACACACACACACACACACACACACACACACGATAAACGGCAGGATGGGAGGAAACGAACTGGTTATTATTTTCTCTCCGAGCCTCAGTACAAGAGAGTGGAAGAACTTTCCAGGCTGGAGCTGTGGCTTGCAGGACCCTTGCCCTGTGGACTTGGAATGCTGGGTTCAGGGTGGGGGTGGAGGGAACCTCCCCAACCCCGACTGGGATGCCAGTGACTCAGCTCAGCAAAGAGGCAGCCAGCTCGAGGCTGGGAGTGTGCGGGGGCAAGAGGAATCCGCAGCCAGGGACAGAATCCTCGGCCAGCAGCTGGACAGTGAGCAAGTGACAACAGCCTGGTCTGGACTGAGTTTGGCACTTCTGGCCTTCCTAGAGCCAGCTGATGTGGGTGTGGTCTTATCGTACCGGTCAGGAAGCCCCAACCCGGGAGCTAGAGAACAGTCTGGAGGGTGAGGATACCATGACAAGTGGGAAGAGAAACCTGGGAAGGGATACTGCCCATCGCCTCCATCCTATGGCTCGTTTTATTGGAGAAGTCTTAGCAGGCTGTCACTACAGTGACTCTCCCCAGGGGCCTCAGAGAACCACTGAGGATGGCGAGCGAGCCATTTGGACAGTCTGTGGCTGTCTCTGTGTCCTCGTCCCCTCATGACTCCCCGGGTTCCTTTTCTCTCTCACCTGTTCTCACTCTCTCTCTCTCTACAGTACCCATCATCCCCCTGACCTGCCTAAGGCTCTCCGTAAGCCTCAGGTAAAGGCGGCCTCTGAGCCATGACTGCAGGAACCATCCCCACCAAATTGCTCCTCACCGCTGAGGGAGGAAGATCACTGTCCACTCAGCTCCCCGGGGTCCCACACTCACTCTGTGTTCCTCTCCCCAGGAGGCCTCCCCAGGGACAGAAATGGGAAAGAAATGGCCTATTTTCTGGAAGTCCAAAATAAAACGAAACATCTGTCTGGAAGAGAGCCAGGCAGATAAAGAACGCACTGGTCCCCCCCACCCCCCCACCCCCGCAACAGCACCCCCCCCACCTCCAGAGTGTGTGTGTGCTGGGGGTTGGGGGGGTGGAACAGGCTGTGGGAAAGTGCTCAGCATGTGCCTGACGGCTCTTGGGGGCCCCTCCGGGGAGGGAACCAGCCTGGGAAGGAGGTCAGAGAGGAGGATGGGAGGCCCAATCAGTGCCTCTGCCCACAGCCCAGCCGCCTGCAGAGCAAGCACTTCCTGCCCCCTGCCTCAGGCGCCTTGCTGGCCTCAGGCTCGGCCCCCACGGCTTCATTCCGGGCCATGTAGCCTGGCTCTGCTGATGCTCTGGGACCCCCCTGGCTCCCAGTCTCCACGGTCTCACTCCAGCCCTCCCTTATCAGTTCTTCCAGAAGAAATGGGGACTCAGATGGCCTTGGAGAGTTCCAGTTCAGCAGCAACTCTACCTTAGGCCATCCCCTCTGCCCCCCCCCCCCCCCCCCCCCCCTGTCCCCTGCCCCCTTTCCACAGTCACATGGGACCTGTTTAAGGCCTCACCAGCCACCAGGGCCAGGCTGCTCCTGAGAACGATCTTGCCAGGTTCTCAGCCCGGGCCACCAGGTCCTACTGCGTTCCTGTGTCACAGATGAGCAAACTGAGGTAGAGAAAGGACACACATTGTTTGCCCAGCTGTGGCTACAGTGCAAAATCCTTCGCAGACTGTCCCTGCCCCTACCAGCACATAGGCCCAACTCCTGCCCGCTCGCTCGCTCACTCACTCACTCACTCACTCACTCACCCGCTCTCCTTTCCTGCAGGACTAACAGCTAGAGGCCTACAGAAAGGACAGTGGGAGCCTGGGCAGTCCCAGCCACACACGAGTCTGCTGCCGCCTGCTCATTCCTATTTCCGGACCTCTCCACACGGTCTTTTGAGCTAGGCCAAAGTGAAGTTGACAGTCCTAGGTGCGACATTCACGGGGCCAGCCGGAACCACACACGCCCCACTCCTCACCTTCTCTGCAATTGCACACAGCCAGTGATAGGAATCTCACTTCCTCTGGGGCCCTTGATCCGGGAGAAGCTCAGGATCCCCAGAGGCCAGACTACCACAGCGGTCTTGTTACGCTGAGCACAGCCTGTCTCCCTGTGTCCCCTACCTCTTGGTTGGTCCTGCTTCTGTCCACCAGCTTTCTCACACCCGCTGGACGACACCTTTCTTCTCACTCACTGTTCCAATCCAAAAACAAATAAAAACCCCGACTCATTTGGAACCAGGCCTCCTGCTCAATGAAGTGATCCAGGAATTTTGTTTCATCCCACACAACAGTTGTGGGAGGGGAGGAATGTGCTCATTACACCCATTTCACAGAGGAGAACCCCGAGTCTCATGGAGGTTTGGTGACTTGTCCCCAAGGTCACGTGGCCAATAATCAGAGGAGCTAGGACAGTATTAACCACTAAGCAAGACAGCTGATCTCCCAACTAAGGGCAACTCTGTCCACAGGAAACTGGTCCTGCCTGAAGTTCTCAGCAACAGGAGGATCCTCCAAGGTCAGGGCCCTGCCCCGTCCTCACTGAGGACAATGGGCAGGAAAGCTCCACCCTCAAGTTCACCCAGCAATTTGAAAGACCAAGTGGAGACAGAAGTCAGAGCCCTTTTGAGACCTCACAGCAGAATCCAGGAGAGGGATCCCCAGCCCCCAGCATGGTGGCTGGCACACGCCTTTAGTCCCAGCACTCGGGAGGCAAAGGCGGGAGCATCTCCATGACGTTGCAAGTTCTAGGCTGGCCAAGACTATAGAGCAAGACTCCATCAAAAAAATCAGGGAGAGAGATTCTTACAGAGAAAAAACCCCTCTTTTGGTCTCGGAGACAGAACATCTAGGTAGTCTGGCTCAGTGTGTTGCCAGCTCTGCCTAGGGCCTGCGGGCCTGCCTCTCCGGGCCCAGCACCCCCAGCATGGTCCCAGAGCACCAACCAGAGCCTGGGAAGCTGCGGAGTGGAGTTCCAGCCTTCACCTCCCCAGGCTGCCCACCCTGCCCCCCACTCTCTAGAGCCTCATCTCGGACTGGTGCCATGACAACCGAGAGCACCAGGCCCTGGCAGCTAAAGGAGCCCCTGAGAGGGGTCCCAGGCCGGGGTTGGGAGGGGTGCGGCAGGCGCAAACAAGCAAACCTTCTGTTTCCCTGGCCGCGACCATCGGGGACCAGCCGTGGGCTGGGGGGCCTCGGGGAGAAAGTGTTCTCAGAGCCAAGCGGGCAGGGGGCAGGCTGGCCTCGAATCCCATTCCTACTGACTCACCCACACGAGGCCTTCCCCCACCAGCCCGGAGTCCACGGATCAGGCAAGAGCCGCTGGTTAGGGAGAAACCCCCGCCACTGATGCGTGCCAATTACAGAACATTGAGATTCCCCTCAGAGCCCTCCTGGGCGGTGAATTGAGAGGAGAAGCGTCCACGTTTCCTTCACACACACACACACACACACACACACACACACACACACACACACACACACAGAGTACTTTCTCAGCATCTCTTCCCTATAACTTCCTGCAGGCTTCACCCTCCGGCTCTCCCTCTGTGACTGTCTCGTGTCTCGTTCTCCAGGGTATAAATCGGGCCTGTGCGCTGAGTCACTGGGGCTGTGGATGAAGTTCACATGAGGAGATGCTTGGAGGAGGGCCCGGTACCCCCATAGGAAGTCAGAGACTACCTTCCTCATCCCTCTCCACCCACGGGAGAAGGCACTCACTCAACCAGCCTAGAGTGTGGTAGTTGACACCTGGTACCCTGGCTTGGTGAGGGAGAGGATGCGATGATACGGAAGATGGCACAGGAAGCTCCTGAGGAGGGGCTACCTGGAAAGTGGGAGCTCATAATGGCATGAAATTGGCAGCAGCGTCTCTCCCCTGGGCTACACGGAGACCCAGTGAGGCGTTCCTTCATCTACCGAGCGGCCAGCCTAGGAATGAGCTAAACCCGATGGATGTCTCCCAGTCCACGGCTATCAGCTAAGTCTTCTCTGTCCCTCAAATTTGACTTCCTACAATTCGTTCCCTAGTGACAGTGCTCTCTAGGCTGAAGACAGAAAAGGGTGACTCTTCCCCTCTTGGCGGAGGCGATAGGACAGGCGGCCGCGGGAGCAGCACAGACAGACTTACGGTGTCCTAAAGCCAGGGAGCCGTCCCTGATGCCACCCAGGACAGGGCAAGGGTCTGGGAGCTCAGGCAGGCTCGGGGAGAGCTTTTCCATCTCCAAGCCATTTAATCCACACCCAGATCCCAGTCCTCCCATCCGGCAGCTGTGTGGCCGCTCGGGGTTGAGCTTGTCTGAGTGTGTTTCCTGAAGAGTGGCCCGGGAGCCTTCTGCTGCTGCTACGATAGTTCAAGATGACGACGACGAAGAGCCTGTGGCATCATCCCCTGGTCAGTAAGCAGTAGCTGCTAAGATTCTGTGAGGCTCTCTGGAGATGCGGGCAGGGCAGGCCACTCCACAGCGCTCTGGTATTAGCTACATTTGGGACATGGAAAGGCCTGGGGGGTGGGGGGAGGATAGGGCCGTGATGGCTCTGTTAGACTACAGCAAAGTGATAGGTGACAAGCAGGGAAAGAGAGCAAACCTTTGGGAAGGGTTGGGGGCACTGGGTGAGGGTTTAGGCTTTGCCCTGGACACACCAATGCATCGACTTCCAGGGGTTTAACCGTGATGGTGAATGGCGAGCTACTGAGAATGGTAAGCACTGGTGGGGTGGGGGGCATGTAGGAAATTGAGGTGAGCAGGTATTTTGTGGGAGATTGTCTGTTGTCATAAGGACAGCGGAGTCAGAGATTCCAGTTTCCAGACTGAGGCCATGCCAAAGCCAGCCGGAAGTCCCCAGCAGGAGCAGGTATATAATTTGTGGGCCAGGTGTAAAGTGAGAAGGAGGGGTAATTTTAAAAAATTATTTAGAGTTTCAAAATGCTGCTTTGAGGGAGCCTCACACTAAGTGTGGGCCCTTTTCAGCACAGGGGTCCTCATGAGGGCGAGTGCTCATGAAGTCACCTCTATGTCCTAGAATAAAGGGGAGGCCATCTGTCCATCATCCATCCATCCATCCATCCATCATCTTGACATTCATTAATTTACCTATTCACCACAGCACTAATAATTCAGTAGACAGACCCAGGCTCGGCATTGACAAAGGCACAAATACAGGTAAGATTAGAATAGCCGATACAGGTCGCTGGGTCAAGCCCGGATGTTTACCTTCACGCCCAATGTTATGGGCTGAGAGGAGTCAGGGTGTCTGTGACAAGTTTATAAGGCCGGTTCTTGTCCCTCTGGAGTGGTCTGGACTGCCCTGCTGTCTCTGTGACATTTATGTGCAGGAGAAGAAGAGCCCGGTGGTACTACAGCTCTTGGGGACCCACTTTGCAGGAAAGGAAAGTAACTAGGTCACCAACAAAATGTGACCCACAGCTGTAATAAGCCTGGCTCCTAGGAAGGCCGGGGATGTAGGTCAGTTGGCCGAGTGCCTGCCTAGCATGTAAGAAACTCTGGGTTCGATGCCCAGCACCACACAAATTGGGCATGGTGGCTCATGTCTGAACTCCACCATACCGGAGATGGAGGCAGGAAGGTCAGACATCCACCGTTAACTTCAGCTACATATCAAGCTCAAGGCAAGCCTGGGCTACATAAGACATGGTCTAGAAGAGGAGGAGGAGATTGCAGCAGCCATGATACATGGAAGGGGCGTGCAGTGCTAAAAGCAGAGCTGGGGTGGGCCTCTGGAGCCACTGACCTTGCCCTTCCTCTTCCCCTCTTCATAGAAGAGAAAACTATGATCAGAATGGAGAAGTATTGGGACCGGAAGCTTTATGACCCAGAAAACCAGGGGGTTCCCGCCCTCCGTCAAGCAGGCTCTGTGGGCTGCGTCTGAGTTAGCAGAGGACTTGCTGTGCAAGAAATCTTGGTCCCCAGCACTGCATACAACTAGGCATGGTGGGACATGTTTAAAATCCCAGCACTCAGAGGGCGGAGGCAGGAGGATCAGAAGTTCAAGGTCACCCTTGGCTACAAAGCCAGTCCGAGGCCAACCTGGGATAGTTGAGACCCTGGAGAGAAGGGAGGTTTGGGGTTGGGGTGGGTTTTGTTCCTCTTTTGCAAAGATCTGCCTTACCCCAGAGAGACAAGGAGGCTGGTCCATAGACAGCAGGTGGAGCTGGGACCCCTCTGTCTTTTGGATGGTGATATGGATACGTGCATGCCCCATCACCTGTGATCTGCATAGCCTGAGATACATCCTTTCCTTTTTTTTTTTCTTTCTGACCTTGGGTCCACCCCCACACCATAAGGAAATCAAACCAAATGAGCCCCGAAATCCTTTTCATCTCTGACATTCAGGCAATTCTCGAGCCGCTGACCCTCTCCGGGGACAGTGCTGTCCATCACAGGATGGAGAAGCTGGAACCTCCCGCAGATGAAAGCGTCAAGCATGGAGACATCAAACGGGCGTACTCTGAGGCGGGTGGGAGGGTATTAATGTGATTAAAGCTGTACACAGACGTACTTTGATTTTCGCCCACCTGCATCAGGCTGAGCATTATCTGAGCCCCCAAGAAAGTACTTACGAGTAGAGGAGCTGGGGGGCCAAGTCTGGGGGTCCAGGAAGCTATTTTCTGAGTCTCTGGACCCTAAGACTTGGTGTAGGGGAGGGTACCAGGTGTGCTGTGCATAGAGTAGCAAGTGAGTGAATTCTACCTCTGCTCCCATGGAGGTGGGTCCATTCCCACCACTTCCGCTAACGTCCCTCTGTGTTTGGGGTCCAAGCCTACTTTCTCTACAAACCAAAGCTCAGCCCCAGAAAGGACATACAGGGTCTCTCTTGTACAACTCTCACACCCGACTTTCCTGGCTCTCAGGAAAACAGGCATGTAGACTCTGCAGGAACACGCCCTGGAACGGGAAACTGAGCACATTAAAGGGCCCTCTCCTGGCTAGAAAGTTCTCCTCCTTATTACAGGTTGAGGCTTTCCATTAGCAGCCATTGATCCAGACCTCTTTCTGCAATGTGGAGAGAAAGGGTAAGAAAAAACCCTTTCATTGTAAAGTTAAATATGCATGATCCCTGAGCACACAGCAGGGCCTGTGTGCCTGCCAATCTGCTCTGGCAGGGCTTGGAATCCTGGGATTGTTCTGTGGTGGCCGGGAGCTTAGTGATCGTCGGGGTCAACCTCTTTGTTCAGCTGAGGGAGGACTGAGGCCCGTGGTCACATGGCGTTCTGGGTCTTGAGGCCCCCCTCTGGAATGTTGAGGACAGATGAGGCAAGTCCTTGGAGTTTATACTGGATCCAGGCCCCACCCAGCCTCACCTCACAAGGCTCAGAAATCAGAAAAACCCAAATGCCAATCCCAGATCCTCTACTTCCTCTCTGTGGGACTCTGGGCCCCTGATTTAGCCTCTTCCGGCACTTCCCCATCTGTAAAATGGGAAGAAGTTGCATCTACTCCTCTGGATTGCAGGATTTAGTTAACCTAGCAAATATGTATGAGCTTTCTGCATGCCAAGCACTGAGGACCAAAGAGAGAACTTCAAGGTTCCTCCAAGGCAGAAATGTAGTTAAAACACATACACAACTGTTCAGGAGTTGCTTCCGCCCACACTAGCTCAGGTGCCACAGAGGGACCTGGGGAGGGACCACTCCATTCTCCTATCTCCTTGCTTCCAGAGTGAGATGACTATGGAAAAAGTCTCATTCCAAGGATCTACTGCTCAGGATCTAGAACCATCTGGAAGAAATAGAAGGGCCTTTCTGGAGTGTTTGGTCTTTCCTCTCCTCCCCTCCCTTCCTCTCCTCCACACCTTGAAGCCTGTCCAGAACAAAAGTCAGATTCTCTCTTAGACCCTGAGGGGATCTAGTCCCCGAGCCAGCCTCTGTACTGGGCCTGGAAAAAGAGGTACAAAATGTCTAGGTTCCTTCCATGGCCAAAGGTCTTTAGGGCTGCAGATCATTTTCCTATCCGGATGCTCATGCCCCGGAAGTGGAGGGAGCATGGGCTGCTTGTTCTCAGCCATGCTCACACAGGTCCACCCCACAGGTTATAGTAACCAGGCTCACACCTTGTGTCTTGGTAAGCCCACAAAGTACTGTCACACTGTTCACAGAGAAGACTAGGCCCGGAGAGATGAAGTGCTCGCTGGGGCCACACATTCAGCCAATAGCAGAATCAAAAGTCAACACCTGACTGGGCATGGTAACACACACCTTTGATCCCAGCGCTTGGGGAGGCAGAGGCTCTCTGAGTTCAAGGCCAGCCTGGTCTACAGAGTGAGTTCCAGGACAGTCAGGGGCAGGACTACACAGAGAGAGACCCTGCCTCAAAACAAAGTTAATATGGCCGGGCAGTGGTGGCGCACGCCTTTAATCCCAGCACTCGGGAGGCAGAGGCAGGTGGATCTCTGTGAGTTCGAGGCCAGCCTGGTCTACAGAGCGAGATCTAGGACAGGCACCAAAGCTCCACAGAGAAACCCTGTCTCAAAAAACCATAAAACCAAAAACAACAGCAACAACAAAGTTAACACCCGGTGTTGATCTGAGGGCTCACAACCTCTAGGTACGGAGCAGCCCAGGGATGCCAGGCTAACCACAGGGTGCTTATGCAAGAATAGGCTTCTGACTTTGGATCCCCTGGGCTTTTCACTGCCTCCCTCCATCTGCTAGCAATTACAAGTCCAGCTCCCCCGCCCCCCCCACACACACACAGAGGAAAGAGGACGGCTGATAACACTGCCCTGCCATGCAGTTATCTGAAGTGTTTGCCCCACAGCCTCCCTCCTCACGCAGGACCAGAGATGGGGGATCTTGAAGCATTGAGGCCTGATGCTGCACGTTCTGCTGGGGATGATGGAAGCCGGGAGGAAGCGCTGTGCGAGGAGTGGGTGAGGAGACCCTGATGATGCACGGCCAGGACGTATGGGGTGCAGCCTCTGGGTTTGCTTCCGTTTCAGCCTAAACGCTAGCTCTGGTGGGTGAGCCTGGAGTCACTTAGCCTTGCTCTGCAAGCAGGGATCACAAAACTGACTCTGAGGCCTTGCTGTAAGGAACACAAAGTGGGCATGTACCAGGCTCACGTGTGACAGTACCACCTTGACTCTGTGCCCCCTGTGCTGGGGCTCCGGGGCCTCCTACCTGGAGACAGGGGAGGACCGATCACTTCAGAAAGACCCGTTGGAGGCTTCGGTAAATCCGAGCCACCACATTCTCACTGCCAACCCAGGGCCCGGCACTGAGGCCACAAAGCAGCCTGGTTCCGAACAGGCTGTGGTGTGCAAATGATAGCAGCAGAGAGCCCATGTGTCAGGGTGTTAGTAGAAAAGGCATGGCAAGCACCCGAAGACTGGAGGAACCGGGGAGGGCTGCCTGGAAGAGGTGTGGTTGGAGGGACCAGGAGAGAGAAATGATGAGGAAGAGCATTCCAAGCAAGCGGGATGGGGGGGGGCGCAAATGCCCACAGACAGGGTGGTGCGAATTCCTCACAAATCCTGGAATCTAACCATCTGGAATCAAGAAACCAGGCTGGAACCAAGGGCCCAAGTCTGTCTGGGACAGTGGGGTGGAGGGGGTTTGGAGTCTCGCTTCAGCCTTGCTACTGGGCTGTGGCTACAGTTAGGTGGCCGGCCCATCAAGGTAGAGGAGGAAACCATTCCTGCATCCCAGGGGTCATTCAGAGTGCAGGGACATTCCTTCTGCTGTGAGGAGGCTGGGGCTTGCTACAGAGACTAGGAAGCTACCGAGAGATCTGGGCAGGAGGGAAGTGTGATGAACATCAGTTCAGATTTTAGGATAGAGGGGAGCAGAGTCCTGAGGGCGAGAACAAACAGGAAAACAGGCTGTGGCAGAAGGGAACGGCCCAGCCACGACCGCCCTTCACAGAGGGGCCCCCCAACCTGAGAGCCCGGAACTAGACCCCAGCCCAGCCACAGGACCACAGGTCCGGTTTGTAAACTTGCCTCCATCCGAAACTTTGAGACCCAGAATTTCCCCAGTGGCTAGGGGTTTGGAAGGACATCTTAGGAATCTGGAAAATTTGCAAATCTATTGAAAATCTCCGAAGTCTGCCTGGCAGTTGACTGGTCTGGAGCCAGACTTAGTCTTAGGCACAAGACTTGGTCCAAGGGACAGGGGCTAGGATCCCCGAGGTCCCCACTTCTGCGAAAGCTATTAGCCACCTCTGGATTCCCCTCCCCTGACCCTGCTACCTCTCCCCATCCCCCACGGTCTCTTGCTGTGCCTTGGAGGTCCTGCTCCATTGGCATCCAGAAAGCTCTGGGGGTGTCTGAAGAGGTCAGGTAGGCAGCAGGATTGGGGGGGGGGCAGCAGCTCACCATGCGGGGGGGGGGGTGGTGGAGGGACAGCCCTGATATCAAGGGGAGTCCTTGCCCTCCTCCTAGCTGATTTTGTTACAATTTTTTCTTCTATTTTTTTTTCTGCACAAAGAAGCACAGGCTAGCGGGGTGGAAGGGGGCAACGACAAGACATGGGATGGGTTTCCTCCTCCCTGAACTTACCAGGCTACAGATGGCTTCTGGTGTGGGCTATCACCCCCTCCAGGAAGTCCTCCTCACTGTCCTCTGTTACTGTGCTGGACCCCAAATGGACAGCAGTAGAAGGGCTAGCCTGATTGCGGCAAGCCTTGGGAGAGACAGGGGAATGGAGAGAGTGCTCTGGGGCCAGGAGCAGGCCAGCCCCTCCTCACTCCCAAAGCATCCTTTGGGAGGAGCGGAGCAGCCTGGAGGGGCCGCCCTGGGTCTCGCTGGCAGGCAGGACGCTGACGACTGGTCTGGGCCGCTCTGGCTCTGGCCTCCTCTCTGTTCTCCTCTCCCTCAAAGTTACTCCCAGAGCAAGCCTAAGTCCCCGATAGGGCGCAGCAGGGACTGTGACCACAGTCAGCCCCAGCGCTCACACCACTGTGGGCTTTCCGTGCCCCCACTACCACCGCCACACACTTTGGGGGAAAGGCTGCAGGGCCGATTCTGATTGGCCAAACTAGGGGAAGGAGGGGGGGGGGGAGAGGTGGAGCAGGGAGGGTGGACGCGTGTGTCTGTTTTCAATTTCAGGGTTTTTTTTTTTTTCCCTCTCTCTTTCTTTTCCCCCAAGTTTCTTGTTTTTCTTCCTCCTTTCCCTCTGCACCCTCCCTTCACCGGCTCGCTCAGGATGTGAGGGGATGTTTAGAAATTCCGCTGCCCACGCCAGCCACTGAGTCACTTTATTAGAGTGGCCTGCTCCGCTTGCTGATGCCTGTCAAATGGAGCCTCCCTTCACCATGGCACCTGGAGTGTGTGTGTGTGTGTGTGTGTGTGTGTGTGTGTGTGTGTGTGTGTGGTTTCTCTGTGCCTCAGTTTCCCCATCTGTAAAGGATCTGTGTGGTGAACTCAGCGTTCACTCAGTTAACAAGCCCACTGAACCTCTGTCCCATGTGAGGAACCATACTGGGTGCCGGGACTCTGTAGCAAGAGACCATCTGAGTTGGAGAAACATTCCCAGACAAGCGGGTACCCACTGGCGGAGTGGCTGGCAACACACTAGAGGAAGAAGACCCAATGGAGGCTCCGGGAGATCAGGGTCTTAAAGACTGCCACGGCTGAGTCCTGACTCTTCACCTGGGCCTGGAGCTGTGTCCTTTGCTACCTTAAACTTCGGGTCTGATTCCCGTTCATCTCTGCATACAGATGAGTCCGTCATCAAAGGCATGTCTGACTCAACACTCACTGCAAGATAAGAGCCTCTAGGCAATTGAGAGTGGTGGAGCAAGCCTGTGATCCCAGACAGGCACGCCAGAGGACCGGTCTTAGCCACATGGGGAGACGCTGTTTAAAAAAAAAAAAAAAAAGTATATTCTTAGATTCCAGAAGCAGAAACTCTTACAGGCAGACCACCCCAGGAATCCAAGCACGACAGGAGCTGAGTTCCCCTCTCAAGCTGCAGCAACAGCAACTTCCTAGGAGCCCCGGGGACCTCACCGGACCAACCCCGCGACATGATGAGCCAGACCACAGGATGGTGGGAGACAGCCTGGCTTAGGCACCCCCTCCCCTTGGTCCCTGTCCTAGACTATTCCCCTCTAGCTCTTGTTAGGACCACAGACAGGGCTTAGGAGGACAGTGGCCATCTCTTCCCAGTCTGACCACCCTGGAGATATAAACATGTCTCTTGCTTCACCGTCACATTTCTGACTGGAGTCCCCAGGCAGCAGCAGCCTGGTGGGTTAGGCTCTGGTGTCAGGTCTCAGGGCCTGAGGCTCCTGAAACTCTTCCAAGAAGGATAGCATCAGTCTTGTTTTCTCCAGAAGGAACAAAGGCCCAGAGGTAAACTGGCACCTAGAAAGGGAACATGACTTGTCCAAGGTCACCCAGCACATTGCCTCACATGTTCATGCCTACCCCCTCTTTAGCATCTTAAAGCCCCTGGGGAAACAGGAAAGGGATTTGCCCTGTTTTATAACAGGGAAACTGAGGTACAAGTTTAATGAGCTGCTTGAGCTCATATGGCAACAGCTAGGATGGATGTGGGTGGTCTGGAACCACACTCAGAGCCAGGTACCCTGCCCCACCTCCCTCCCAGCTTAGCTGCTGAGCAAGGTACCACCTGTGGTGTTCCGGGCCATCTCCCTGCTCCTCTTCCCCAGACCCCCTGGTGGCTGGCTTCTCTTCCACATTCCCGCGTCTCTAAATCCCTGGCCTCAGACTCCTAGCCCTCCAAGATCCACTGGGTATTGTTTCAAAAGGACTTGGGGACTTGAGTAGAGCGACCTGCCCCCCACTCCTGGGGATGCTGGTCTCCAGGGTTTGCAGAAGGGGTGTCTGAGATCATGCACCTCTTTTGACCTTATCTTCTGTGTCTCTGTACCCCACCTCCCCGCCCTCTCCTCCAGTCCTACCAAGGTCTCAGATCAGGGAAATTCCATTATTTATCTTGCTATCACTTCTTGGTCTCATCTCAATAGCAATTGCTTGGCCGAGTGCTGGGCGGGACTGTGTGGAAGAGGGCACTCTGACTGGCCCAGACCATGTAGGGTAATGAGTCTCCAGGAGGAGTGCCTGACCCAGGGCTCGGTGTCTACGCAGGGTCATGGGGGAGCACAGATGATGCCAAAGGTCACAGGGTCAAGCCTACACAGGATTTCCTGTGCCAAAGACTCCACCAGAAACTGTCAGCTCCCTGGGTTTGAGCCCCAAATCACAAAACAGAGGGAAAGAGAGAGATGAGGGGAAGAGGGGGGACTCTACCCCCAGAATTTCTCTTGGTTGTGGTCCTCTGGACCCTCAGAACAATTGCAGTGCCCAGAATAGCTTAAAGGAAGCAAGGAGGAGGGTCCACACCAGAGTCCCAAAGGAAGTCGGGACACCTGGCCCTGGACTTTCACAGTCAGTGGAGGGGCCCCTCTCCTATCCGAGCCTCAGTTTCTCAGCTGGGGTCACTGTTGCACACAGACTTTGGGATGGTCAGCTGCAGGGCCCCCTCATGGCTGGACACTGACTAGGGAAAGGAGGCTGGCAGGCCCTGGGGCAGGGGACAGTTGGGGGCCAAAGCCGCGGCACAGAGGGGAGGGGTGTTGGTGGCGGCTCCCCAGGGGAAGCTGGGGGCTGTCGTTTCCGGCCAGCCCTGCTGTCCGCTGGCCCATCTGGAATCATTTAGCTCTACCACCATTAACCCTTGGTGGGCACAGGAGCTGTTTCTCTTCCCGCTGATGGTGGCGGGGGGTGGGGGGGAGGTGGGGGGGGGGGGGGGGGGGGGGGGGGGGGGGGGGGGGGGGGGGGGGGGGGGGGGGGGGGGGGGGGGGGGGGGGCGTGCAGGGGGTGGGGTGGGGAGCGGGAGGCCGTGCACAGGAGATACGGAACTACACAGAGTGCCACAGGGCCCTTACGAAGGCCTCGATCATGAGGCTAAACTGTCACAACCGAAGGTAGATTTGGCACCCAGAGACTAAAGTCGGGTTCAGATTCCGGCCTCTCTGTTCCAGGCTGGAGAACCCTGAATGAGTCCCTGAGTTGCCCAAGCCTCAGTTTCCAGCTCTAGAACACAGGTTAGGCCAGGGCGGACACCTTGGACTGTTGAGATTGTCGCTGTCCTCCAGGGCGCAGCACGGTGCCTGTGAGAGCCACCGAGGGAAGGGTGGCTTCTCCCTCTGAGAGCACCCCATCACTGTGTGCCTCTGCACTCGCTGCTGCTTGGGCATCCTGCAGGGATCAGGTAGCACCGTCATGCTGGGGTGGCGAAGCGAGGCCCTAGCCCCACTGTGGACAGAACAAAACATGTACCTTCACTCCCTGCCCGTATCCTAGGAGTTCCTTTGGCCATGGTCAAACCGTGAGGGGAAAGCTGTTAACAGTGGGTGATGCGCAGAGGGGGCTGGAGGCCTTGAGGCACCTCACTTCTCACTCCTACAGTCCGGAGGTAAACTAAGGGGTGAGGTCCTGAGCTCTACGCCCGAAGTTCCAAACCAACCCAGGGGCTTCTTAGCTGTAGGACTCACAGAACGCCCCAGTCTTGGAACTTTAAAATAGAGATACAAGTGTCTGCCTCACGTGCTGTGAGAGGCCCGAGTACAAGTCCCCACACAGGTTTGGTGTGAGCTGTAGTGGGTAGCCATTCCAGCTTGGATCTGGAAGTTCCAACCCCCAACAGTTAGTGCTACAAAGGATAATGGACCCTCAGGTATTCCTAGGGACTGCTGTCACTGAGGGGTCCACGATCAGAGCTGGAGGGAGGCCTCTCCGCCCACTCACTCACAGTCAAGGTAGAAGGTCATGACTGAAGCGTCTCATGGCAGGCCATATGATCCTGTCGTGTGGGCAGAGATGCAACAGCAACAAAGGCCTGATCTCAACTTCTACACTCACGTTCTGCCTTGGAGAGAGGGTCCGGACTCTGTGTAACCCCCAACATCTCCCTCACCATCAGAGCAGGAAGCAGCGCTCTGTGGTGTGAGCTGAGGGCCCGGAAGGGGAGCCCCCATGGGAGAAGTCCCCGTGGACCAGCTCAGCCCTCCCAAGGCAGGGCCAGCAGCCACCACAGCTGGCTCTCCCACGCTCCTGGAGCTGCCCTGAAGGCTCCCGGGGCAGGCCTCGGGTGTGAGGAAGCAGCACACGTCCCAGACCTTAGCGCGGTCATCTCCAGTGTCAGAAGGGCATCCTCAGCACAAGGCCACTGGACAGGCCCAGAGGATGGAGGGCTTCCTGGGGGAGGTGCCCGAGCGGCAGGACCCTCGGCTTCACCCTAGCATCTTTCCCGGCTACACACCGTGAGCAGATAGGTAGAGCCTCTCTACCTGCAGCTGGAAAGCCAGAGGCTTAGAGTCGAGCTCACAGCATGGCGACACTTTGAGCAGGCTAGGGGAGCAGGGGGCCATGAGTCACCTTCCAGAGATTCTTGGGACTTCTCTTCCTGGGCCAGGCTGTAGCTAGGGAAGCAGGCCAGGATGGCAGGAGATTTGGAGTTCAAGACATGTCCATTCACACTTACCCCAGCACTCCACCCCCCCTCCCAACCCCACCCTGGCCATCGCAATGCCCCAGGACCACAAAGCACTGTGGCGCATCCTCCTACCACACACAGAACGCAGGACCCCTGAGGACCCTATTGTTTCTCCCTCAGGGGAGCACTGGCTCTTAAGGTCCAGGGGGGGGGGCAGCACCTGCTTGAAGGCATACAACAGGTCTTCCGGGCGGCGGGGGGTGGTGGTGGGGGTGGGTGGAGGTGGGGCTCTCACTCTTACTCTCAGGCTGCCCTGTTTCTCCCATCATGCATCTGCGTGAAGGAAGTTCACTGAGCACCTACTATGTGAGCGGCACGCGCCCCTCCCCCCATCCCTCAGCACTCACTAGCAAACATCAAAGGAACAACGTTAATACTACTCATTTGTGGTTGGTACAATAAAAGCGATACAGAGCATCCTGGGTTGGGCAGATGAGCGTTCTTGTTCGGGGCTCAGAAGCTTCCTTCGGGAAGACGTATTTCAATTCTGACCTGAGGTTGAAAGGTCACAGGAAGCAAAAAAAAAAAAAAAAAAAAAAAAAAAAAAAAAATGGGAACAGTGCTTGAAGCAAAGGGAACAGCCTCTGCAGAATCTCTGAGGCCAGAAAGATCTAGAAGTGGTCGACCAGAGGAGAGAAATGGTAATGTTGAGATATATAAAGGATGGGGAGGATGAAGGACTTGAAGGCTTCCGGGAGCCTGGCTTTTATCCTGAGGCCAGAAAGCCACCGCAGCTGAAGCATGGATGAGACCAGGTAGCTGAGGTACAGAGTGGAGTTTGAAGCTAGGCTGGGCTGCTGGGGAGCTTTTCGGGCAACTGTGAATCAGAGTTGGAACCTCTGGGTTCTGTCTGAGCTCTGACCACTGAGCCTCCTTGCCTCCTTTCATTCCTGGCACATTGCTGGACACAGGACTCCTTCTGATGAGGACATTCTGTGCCTGCCCTGGGCCCTGGTTCTGGTGTCTCCTTTGGTCCCTGGTGTCTGGGGAAGGAGGCTGGCTGCCTCCGTTTCCCAGAAGAATAGTAGGCAGTAAGGGACAATGCCTCTTGCAATGCTCCAGAGTGACAGCAGGTGGCGACCTCCCCTCTAGAGGGGCAGAAGGAGCGGTGGCAGACAGGGCCCTCTGAAAGGCAAAAAAATGATCCAGGGAACCCTAACAGCCCACGTCAAGGTCCACCTCTGCCCCCGAGACGTGGACAGCCACCCCCACTCCTGAGGTGAAGGAGGGATCACTGACCTGCCCAATGACGCAGAGCAAGCCTGAAGCCTGGCTGGCCTTCGGTCTGCGGTCTAGAGAAGGGTTCAAGGGGCTGGGGCTGGGAACATGGCGGGTCTGACGCTGGCCCTGGTGCCCACCGGTTTCTCTTCCGCAAACCATTTCCAGGAGAAACTGAGCCCCAGACCTTTCTGTTCCAGGGCCATAAACCAAGTTATCAGTGAGATCTTTATGAGGCTTTCCTCCTGGGCACCCCACCCCATGAGGCCCTGGTGTGAGAGCAGCCTGGAGTGAGAGCTTCCACGGGGAAGAGGGAGGAAGGAGGGGCCCAATAAACAGCCACACCCAGAGGGGGGGCGTCCAAAGGAAGAGGCTGGTTTAGGATAGTCAGGGGCCACGCACAGTAGTGTTGCCATCTGCTGCTACCAGTCCTGGTGGGCACATGGGAGACTGGGTCCCAGGGGCGCAAGGTCAGATGGCAGGTCAGCTGGGGGTACGGGGGCTACCGTTTCAGATTGGAGCTCCTAAGTAGGGTTACAAGAGCTTTAGTTATAGGACTGAGGGAGTCACATCCATGATGCTGTGTCTTCTGACAAAGGGGTCCACCTAGGGGTGAGGGTGAGGGGCGCCTAGAGCCTCTTTTGCATGAAGAAGCCTGAGGAGGAAGAGGAAGCAGCAATTTGTTTAAGCAAAATCCAGTGTCAGGGCCCAGTGTTGGGGTTCAGCCCCGGCCTATCGAGGGGTCCCTTGAAGGAGGGAGTGAGGAGTTGAGAAATGCTAGATAGGAAATATAGACGGAGACGGAGAGAGAAGAGACACATGATAACTTCAGGAGGGGCCTGGGTCAATACCCAGTGGCTTCAAATTTATTTCTAACGGGCTTTTTTAATACACTAGTAAAGGGAGAGGCAAAAGACCTACCCTTTTCAAGATCAAAGGACACCATACCGTACAACCAAGTGTAGAACCTTCAAAACACCTGGTAGGGGCTGGAGAGATAGCTCAGCAGTTAAGAGCACTCACTGCTCTTCCAGAAGGACCTGGGTTCAATTCCCAGCACCCACATAGCAGCTCACAACTCTCTGTAACTCCAGTTCCAGGAGACCTGACACCCTCACACAGACATACATGCAGGGAAAACACCAATGTACATAAAATAAAAATAAATTATTAAAAAAAAAAACACCTGGGAACCATGCCCCATGGCAAAGCGTTTTGTGATGAGGACCTTGACGTATAAGACACCTGGTAATCATGCCTCTGCACCCTATTATGCAGCCTTGGAGAGCAACATAAACTCTGACCTTTCTGACCTTGAGTCAAAGCACAAGTTGGGATCTTTGTGGGCTCCCACAACCCAGCTAACAAGCTTTGGGGTGGGGAGGCAGACACTTATCTGGGGTCACTCTCTGTGCTCACCAGTCAACCATCTCTAGAGGGAAGAAAAAAAATGCCAGATAGGTCATTGACCCCCTGTGTGACCTCAGGAAGGTGACTTTACCTCTCTGAATCCGTATGTTAATCTGAAAAAGAAAGCGGGGGTAACTACGGCCTCTCTTTCTCTGGGCTGTGGTGAGGATGGGGGGAAGTGATGTATGCTTGGCGTAAGGTCTCCCCCTGAGCACCTGCTCCGTGAGTGGAGTAGGAGGGCCACTGTCGCAAACCAGGCTGCCATCTCAGGGAGAGACAGCGAGAACTCAGGAAGGGCGGTGCATCTCGGGAGTGCCCGAGGGAGGGATGTCCACCTGGGGTCCCCTGACTCTTCTCTTCCCTGCTCCAGTCCCCTGCTGCTCTGGCCTCCCTCAAAGCTTCTACCAAACGCTGGCTATGCCTCAGCCACTGTCCAGCTTCTCTCTCCAGGTGTGAGGGCTAGGGGGAGCCTCTCAAATGCCTCCTGCTCCTCACTCAAGACCGGGTTATCAGTTCGAGGGGATATATGCTTTCCCTGAGTCCATGGGGCCTTTCTTCATACTGACGCTTGGGACTACAGTACCCCACTCACCAGGACCCCCGACCGACCGTGCAGGGATCCTCTAGCCTCCTGTTCCTGACCAGAACCAAGACGTAACATCCGCTTCATTGCGAACATGACTTCACTTCCGGCCCCCAGTCCTGGAAGGCCCCCTCAGGCAGGGGGGCCTCGTTCCATGCTGAGCATAGTGCCAACACAGGTGTGTAGGTCCGTCTGTACCTGGCAAATGGGTGAACGCAGGAATAAATTAATCTCTAATCTCAAATGAAAAGCCTCTTGTCTGGGTGTGAACTAGAATACTCTTGGTTAGAGGCCACCAATCCTCGGCCCTCCCCGGAATGAGATCCCTCGCTGGAGATGTCCAGCGATCCCTTGCACACCTCCCTTGGCGGGACACTCACTCCCCGTAACCCCTCCTTCATGCTCACCTACAATGAGCCAGGTTGCTCTTTCTGGCCAGGTGGGTCAGACTCCATACCTGCAGCTTCCCCACCCCCAGGTCCCCACCCTCCCTCCCGGGCCTTCCTTCACTTCCCACAGTAGGAGCAGCCCTAGTCAGCCCAGCTGAGAGAAAAAATTCCACCCTCCTGGGCTTCATCTTTCGCCCCTGTGTCTCTATCTCCTGGTTGGGCTCTCAGTGGAGCCCAGACTTGGGTTCTCAGTGGAGCCCAGACGCCAGGTGTCTTCTAACCTGGGGCTATGGTGGCCTCCCCTGCGGAGACAGCTGTGTGTGCCACTGTGTCTACACTCAGCCTCGTTATGGAGCATGAACTGGAGTTTTGCCCATTTCCCCTCTGGGCCTCCCTGCTTCCATCCATTCAATGGGCAGGTTCCCTTGAGCAGGAAGGGGACCACCATTTAGGCGTACTGCTGTGTGTAAGTGTGATTCTGATCAGGGACACCTTCTCGGGCAGGTCATCTGTGCAGTCACCCAGGGTTCAGCTTCCAAGGACCCTCGTGCCTGGATGAATCCCGCCACCATGAAATTCTAGGTCGTTTCTGAACAATAGACGCGGTATTTTCATTTTGCACTGTGTCCCCCAGCAAGTTACAGTGTGACCGCGGCTCACCTGCCGGCCTGGAGGTGATGCCGACTGGCTCTGTAAAGAGAAAGAAAGCTGAACAGTTATGACGTGGTTCTGCCTTGCTTTGAGGGTCCACACACATCCTGTACCATCTCCTGGTGCTGGGACGGGAGAGAAGGTCAAACCTCAGAGGATTCCATTGCACCGTTCCCTCCCTGGCCCCGAGCGCCATGTGGAGGGGTCCTCATCTACTCTAGCCTTCCTGATCCAGAAAGACATCTCCTTCCCCAACTCCTCAGCCATGACCCCCAACCCCCCACCCCCATAGTCTCAACTATCCCCTCTCCTGTTCCAGCAGCTGCGGAGTGTCTGCCTGTCTTCGACGGAGTAGGAAAGAACACACAGACATTTAAAATGCCAGCGGCCGTTAACCAATGAGGATTCATCGAGCCAACTGCAAAGACACATTCCGCCCCCAATCAGTTGGAGTACGCTGAATGTAAACTGCATTAGATAATAAATACTCAGGAATTTGTCCATGTATTTTAGAAATGCCGTCTGACATGTGTAGGGGTAAAAATGACATGAAGCCGGAAATTTGTTTTAAAATGCTTTAGAAAAAGGCAGTAGGTGGGGGAGGGGGGGGAAGGTGATAGAAACCTGATAATTACAGAGGCTGCATGGTGGTGGGTTCGTGATGCGACTCTGTTTTTGTGTTTATTTGAAGCATCTCGGCAACAAGAACAATAAGGGAAGGGAAGGAGAGTTTGTGAAGTTTCCCAAGGTGTCCTCAGAAGACCCCCACCCCCACCCCGCGCGCCCACACCTTTGAGAAATTTCTCCGTGGTGGAGCCAACAAGGGGAAACACTCAGGAGCATGCAGACTGGCTATCTGCATATGCACATTTCCCACAGCTTTCATCTGGGACCCGAGGGGTCGTGACCCTTGCCCCCCCCTCCCCAGAAGACGTCCTCTACCTTACAGACGGAACCCCCGTTTGAAGTCAGCCTTGCTCTCCCCCTCACCTCAAGCTGGTGGTCGCCGCTGACAGCCCCACAGGCTCACACGGCACCACCGTGCGCTCTGTGAGGCTGGCCTAGGGTCCCCCCTACCCCTCCAAGCCAGTTTCTCCACCTGTAACCCCGGGGGCCGGTGGTGGGGCGGTCCCCGCGACCACCGAAGGAGGAGTCGGAACATGAAGCCGTGCCTGGACCCTCAACCCAGGCCGCGCCCTCTGGGTCCCCAGCCCCCCAGGCCCATCCACCTCCTGCTTAGGGCGGCAATTTGTCTCCTTTTGAACCCCCTCGCCCGACGGGCTTCCCCCTTTGATTCGCGGCCCCGAGGCTTCCCCCCGCTTTGAAATGCAAAGCCGCCCGGCTGGGGCCGCGGACGGCCCGCGGCTATAAAAGGCCGGGGTGGGGCGGGCGCGGCGGCGGCCGCGGGTCCAGGTGAGCAGTCGCCGGTCGTC